GCATCGCTTCTAGTAACAAGTGCCTTACTAGTAGTAACAAGAAGCTAGTAGTTGCCACCGTCCTCTACATCAAATCGAACTGGGAGAGCCCACTGCGCATTTGGCTTGCAAAAAGCTCATCTCGCGCTTTCCAGCCCGCGCCGCGGCCGGAACCGTGCAACGACCCAAAGGGCATGGCCTAAGTTCAGCGGCTTTGGCAGTAAACCAACTCAACACGTGAAATCAACTCCGACACCAGCAATGTTCGATGTCAAATCAACGACGTTCACCATGAGATTGATTAATCATAGCATGGTTATTGGCAAATGGCCCGACATGCAAACAATTATATAAACATCAATTAGTTCCTGATGCATTGAACAAATCCACATCAGTGTGCATCCAGCAAGGCGCTCGTCTTCAACGTCCTTTTTCTTTTGGTGCCCCTGACTTCCCCCCGCGGATCCAAGGCAGCACGCAACTCTTGTGAAAAACCTGGCTCGAAAGGAACACATGTTCTCTGCGCCTTTGGGGGCAAAGCTGCAGAAAAATAAGCACGACAAAACGACCATGACATGTCACACGCTACCCAAAAACCATCGACTGGCAGACGTGGCCACATGGAAGCTTTCGCCTTAGATTTGAATGGAATTGCAAGGACGTCGAACGGCTTCAATGAGAGATTCTGCCACGCAACCAGAAACCACGTGATTCTGCAGCTGCTTCTTTGATGTACCGTACCCGCGGTCTACCGACAATGGCTTGAGCTCCACAATGATTGGCGTATGTTTCGCATATTTCGCATTGAGCTCTGCACCAAGCGGTGCTTTTGGCCTTGGAAAGGGTTCACAAAATCATTAGTTTCAGCTCCTTTTTGCACACCCTGCGGGCTTTACACGCATTCTTCAAATCAATTTGCTTGTTGTTTTCGTTGGAAATTGGAACAGGTCTCCTAAGTTCCGTCGAATACGATGCGTCAATACGTCTTGCTCAGTCTTCTCATCTCTGTCCTATCGCCAAAGGGCCACCACATCTAAAGTGGCCTAACCACATGTCCAAGTACGCTGCTCGAAGCTTGATTTTAAGCGAATCAGATTTGATATTTCAAAGGAGTTCTTCTGCACCTTTCGCGGAGACTTTGTCTTTAGGGGCGAAATTTGGTGAAGTCACAGTTACAGGAGGCATTCTCCAAACACGATCAGCCTTAGGTTTTTGTTTTCAATTGTTGGGTTTCTTAGCGCTCCGCCAAGCAGGGCAAATCCTGCATTTTGCAGGATTATTTGACGGATTTTGATGGGACCTTCGCATGCACGAGGCCCAATACCAAATTTTCCTTAATTCCAGCAACACTATGCTGTTCATGCTTGTGGTGTTTTTCTCGCTGCGCACGAGCACACAAACACCAACACACACACATATTATATATATGCGGCATCACACATCCCGAAAGATCTCAAGGAAGGAAGGAAGGAAGGAAGGAAGGCTTTAGACATGATAAGCATCTCTAGTTACTAGTAGTTGCTAGTTATCGATCTTTAGAGGCCCCAAAGGCTAAGCAAGCACTGGCCATTGATATCTGCTCAGGTCACGGCCTCAAGGTCGGCCTGAGGGCTCAAGCGGCTTAAGGGGTGCTCAACTCGTGGTTGACCCGAGTTCATCCAAGTTCACGAGTCAATGAGCCGTTTAGGAGTCACGAGTTCGTCTCACTGCTCTGCCGGCACCCCTCTACCCCCCGTCTACCACCTGACGCCACTTCTCAGGTCCTCTACGTCAGGTCTTAAGTGCCATGAGGCACAGCGCGAGTCGGGGACGCAAGAGGACCATGTGCACAAAAGAAACCAAAACAACATCATCAACCTGTTTGCACGAACCTGTTTGACTCCACGGTTGGTGATTTTGTCCAGACTAGTCTTTCTCCGGCGCCTGAGACTCCACCAGGCAAATCGCACAGACCTCAGTCGGGAGCGCGGTCTGATGACGTCTTTGGAGGCCATTGCTATTAGGCTGCCTCTCTCTCGCTCTCGAGTCTGAGTGTCTCTGTCTCTTACTTGACGTCAGTTGCAAATCAGTGCATTTCTCTCCATGTATGCGGCCTCTGCAAAACAGCATCTCAGGATATCTCAGATGCCAACCCAGGTGCCCTCTGGGCCTCAAAAGCACAAGAAGTGAACCTAAACGCCTCTCAAGCAATTTCAATTTCTAATGAGAGCTCCGCTTACCAATAGCGATGGCCTCCAACCTACTGGCGATGGCCTCCACCGAGAGCTCCGCTTTGCGTTCTGAATGACACTTCAAGCCCCGGCTGATGGGTGAACTTATCTTCTTTCCCACCACAGGTTGGCTGCTACGAGCGTCTCGCCGCTCATTTTTGTTGAGGGAAACCCCTAAAGAGGCTGAGGTGTAGCGACAGGCCGGGTGTAGCAGTGTGGCCTGTGCATGGCCTAAATCAAAAGCTTGGGTCCTGGCGCACCGGTGCCAAAGCAGCGATCTGATGTGCTGATTCACGAAGCTCCTGGGAAAGCAATTTGGTGAAGTCAACGGCCCCTACTAGCAACAAGCGCATTACTACTAGCAAATAGCTACTAGTAGTAGCTATTTGCTGATAGTAGCAATGCGCTTGTTACGAGATTTGGTGAGGCACTTATACAACTTCAAGAATCTGATGATTATTGACCCTATCTGAAATGGACCGGGGTATAATTGGCGGCCTCAGCATTTTCTTGCAAGCCAATCTTTCGGAAGCCAAGCTAGCACATCCGCATAGGAGCATGCACGGAGCAATGCGCAGCACAGCTGGCTTATGAGCTGTGCGGGAGCCGAGGGCGGAGTCCGTTGGAAGGCGCTCCAAGCGGATCCGCTAAATGCAAGATGGTGCAGTGAAACCAACGCCAACGCGGTGCGTTGCCAATCTTTACAACTAAAACGCAACAGCATCGCGGCAATGTCATAGTAAGTATAGTCATAAGGTGTGTAAGAAGACCTAAAGGCTGCAAAAAACGTGAAATAGCATACACACATTTAAATCTAACTAACAATTTACGTTATAGTTATAGTTCTCCAAGTGCCAAGCTTTGCAGCTGACTGCCGCTTGCTGCTGTGTGCGGCACTTTGCATCCAGCACACGAGGGAGGCAAACAATGCGCAATTTCAGCGCGAATTCCATGCAAAATGTTGTGCACACTAAACTCAAAGATGCTGTGCTACGTGTGCTAATCTGACTCCTCTGAGAAAACGCAAGACGATCACCAACTCTCAATAGGAAAGGCCAACGCTGGCCACTTCGTAGCAACAAATAACCACCATGGACGTTGTTGACCCACTTCCGGTCAAGACCCCATGAACGATGTTTCCCATGAGTTCGTGCAAATAGTAGAGCAAATCAGAGGAGTCATGCCCTGTGCATACTACACTTCATACCATATTGCCAACCACCTGTCGTCAGGGACGAAGATAAGATATTCTCAATCGTCAGTTGTGATTGGCCAGATGTGATCAAAGTAGGTTAGGGGCCATCGTTAGTAGGGTCCAATAAGTATTTGTTTCTTAAGGTATTTGTTCTTCTCTCTCCATTCAGGCCTGTGGCGGAACCCGAGACTCCGGTGATCGTCGTCTGAAATCCTAGGCGTACAAGAGCTGGGCCACAAGGATCAAAAACATTCCAAAGGTTCAGGTTAGCGGCCTCCATCTTAGAAGCAAACTATATCATTAGACCGTTCCTCCCTTTTCCCTGTTCTTTGTTTCTAATAGCGATGGCCTCCAGGTTCAGGTAAACTTTGTCGACGTGAGTTCTCATTGTGTGTCTTCATTACCACCTCTCCAGGCTTGTCTGTTCACTCCTTCCCAGACCTTCCACTACCTTTATCCAATCTTTATCGGCCACCAGTCCAACCCAGAATGTCCAGTCAACTCTTAGTTCTCTGTTCATGTTTTGGTGCGATTCATTTCTTTGCGTTGTGCTGAACGAGAACGGACTTGAGTCTCGTCTTCTCACCCAGGGGCACTGCGGCAAATGGGGCAAAGCCGCGAAGAAGCACGGCCGGAGAAGGACCATCCCACAATGCAGGCCTCGCAGTCGGGGCCGCCGGACGTCGCAGGCAGCGGTTCCGTTCGGGTTCCGCGTTCCGTTCGGGCCGCCCCGTTCGTAGCGATGCACTGTGTTCCATAGGTAAATACTAATACACGTAGTAGTATCAAATGTAGATAGTCAAATGCTGCATGATGCTCCTGCACCAAACATTGTGTCAGAAACCTCACCTCATTCTCCAGCAGCCTTGGAAGAAGTCTGTCGTACAAAACCAAGGTTGAACAGCTGGTTAAAGCTTTCCAAATGTAGGTGGCATTCGTTTAAGCAGGAAGGGACAGTGGTCCTTCCATGTTCTATGGCATCTGCTCTGAGCCCTGTCAAACTGCAACGGCAATTCCGTCACCCCAACGCCTCGCAGAACATGTGCCCGCAAGGAAGTACAGCTAGTGCATCCCCCCGGCGAAAATCCTCAGCTCACAAGGGCAAACAACAGCCCAGCATCGCACGAGCAACGTGCGAGCGATGTGGGGGCACCCTTTTGCAGGCACTCCTTTTTGTCTCAGCCGGCTGCTTCGAAGGCCCAGTATGGCAATCCGTTTCCGCCGTGCTTCAGGCTGATCAGCACCCCGTGGCCAAGGTGGCAGTGCTCATCGTTGGGTCTCCAGCGTGACGACTTCATTGTGCGGACGGAGAAACAATGCGAAGCATTGTCAACAGTGCAACAGCCTGTTGCATGGTCAACTGCATGGTTGCCGTCTTATTACACCTGCAGGGCCTTTCGTAACTCAGCCAGCGGCCGTGGCAGGGATTCCAGTCGGTGGTACAACTCAAAGCACCATCGCAACTGTTGCACTTTGTCCGCTTCCTCTGGCCTGAAGTAAGGCTAAGGCAAGAACACAAAAATAACAGAAAAGGCCACTAGCAACAAGAGCACCGCAACCAGGAGCAAGGACGAAACTAGTAGCTCCTGGCCTTACTAGTAACAAGAAGCCACTAGTAGCAAAGGGCATTGCGGTCTCTCACAAGTAGTTGATTGTTCGTTCAAGCTAGTAACAAAAATAACACTAAAGGTCGCTTCAAAAGCCGGCCCAACCCATTGGACTCTTCTTGCGACAACGGTGTGAGGCAATGACATGAGCCATGTCCGAAAATGACTCATCATCATGTACCCTGGCGGTCTAATTGAAAACCAGCCCAATCCGAACGGCCTGAAGTCAACAGATTGTAATAGAAAAGGAACAAAAGGAAAAGGAAACATGATAGCCTTGCAATGATAGCCGTGTAACAGTGCCCACTTGGCACCTGGGATTTATTGACAAGGACTCCCACATACTCCCACAAACAGTCTATGGCCTATGGACGCTGTCAGAACGCTTTTCGCAGTACTTGACTTCGTGTGCCTTTCGCTGCCCAGCTACGATCGAAGCTTCAGGAGTTGCTCGTTGAGACCCCTCGCAGATTGCAAGAGAAGCTTTCGCATTAGCTTCATTGGCGGCTTGGGACCATAAAGCAGCCACGCACACAAATTCCTGACTGTGTGGTTCAAGCGTGGTTCCTGCACATTGGGGCCCAGTGATGAGTTCTTGCAGGTTTCAACTTTACCATTTAATTACCATGGGATAAACGGGAAGTGTAAAATGTATGACACAAACACAGTCTCAGATTATTGCTGGGTTGTTGAAAACAATTCCACGATCCAAGGTTCTGGAAGATTTGCATTGAAGCAGTGACCTCGTTCACCACACCATCACCCTCAGACCAGAAATCGTCAGCCTGGCAAGACGATTTAGCAAGCACAAAAGGAGACTGGCAAGGGCACTCGAAAGTGATTATGAAATTATGAAGAACAAATAGGTGGAAACAAAAAGAGATGCAAAAAGGAAGGTAAGGCCCTTCTAAAGGGGGCCTTACCTCTTTTGCTCCTCTCTTTTTTGCAAGTGAGAATTTCTCCAGAAACTTGACACTTCAATCCTCCCAATTTGATCAACGTCACCGTCGGATGCCAAAATTGCCAAGGGAACCCGTCGGATGATAGCAGGAGGGGGTCCGAAAGAAAGGCCAACAACGGAAGTATACTAATTGCAAATAGCATCCAAGACCAAAGGCCTTGCTAGTGCAGTCCTGGCTACAAGTAGCACTCTGAAAGTCATTTTATAAGCAAACATTCCAAACCCAGCTAATACCTCCCCCGTACAATGGTGTTCTTGCTTCAAATCCCAGACATGAATCTGTATGTTTAAGGACATATTTTAGTCTGGCTCAACAATGATTCCGTCTGGCCAGCCAATGTGTACTTCCAGGCCATCTTCCTCCCAGTCTGTCCCCATTCTTTCATCCAATGCCTACACCCTTAAAGAAGGTGTTCTTTGCTCTTGTGAAAACTTGTAGGACCAAGCCCGAACACCAGAGTGTTACTGTTCTCAAACTAAAACCGTTGTAACGGCATGTGGTCAGAAGTTCTAAATTTCAACCCATTATACGAGAGCATTCTTGTGAGCACTCCCGAAGGAAAAGCCCTGCAACACAACTTAGCCAAGTCAACCCGAATAAAGCGAGCTCAAAAAGGGTTAGCAACTCTACGTTTCGTACGATCTAGAGGCCACGACGACCAAAACCCCACCAGCGCCGGAGGCCTCCGCCATGAGGCCCGCCACGAGACGCTCCCGGGCGCTCGACGACCGACGACGGCCCGGTCGGCGGCGCTGGCGTTCCACCTGCGCCATATCGCTGCGGATGGCCGCGGCCATCGCAGCGCTGCCGTCATAGGCCGCCCTGACAGGGGGCGGTGCACTGGGGGGCTGTTTCAAGGGGTTTTCGAAGAATCTAGTCCTGCTGCGTCCAACAGAACGACATAATGGCCATGACACTTGCACACTAGTTGTGCCATTAAAAAAAAATATTGCAGAAGAGATGCCTCTGCTGCAGTTCCTGTATCGAACCATCATCCAGCTTTACCCAGTTGATGCTGCTTTGGGCTCTGCGCACTGCCAAGGGCCGCACCAGGATCCGCGGCCGGGAGATGACCCAAGCATACGCAGCTTGGCCATTGGTGTATTTTTCGATTTCATCCTCAAGCAGTGTGCGAGTCCATGTGACCAGTGCTAACTCATGTCTAACCCCCGTCCAATTGAGGTCGCAACACCTGAGCAGCTTCAAAAACCGCTTATACTTTTTTGTGTGCTCGAGGCTTGCTTCCGCAAAGTTTTCGAAGAGTGTTCGCGACCTGCGTTTTGACTTTCACGAAAGCATATGATTTTTATGATTTTTTTTCAGCTCGCACAATTGTCCATCATAGAGGCTTTTGAGGTTGCTCATCCGAAAAACAATCAATTGAGGGAGAATCGCTCATCCACACAAAGCCGAAACCTAAACGAAAACATGCTAAACCGAAACCTGTGGCTGAGCATCATCAGGAACCAGGTGAAAACGTTTGCCTCCTGAGAGTTCAGCAGGACTGCGCTTCTGGCAGTCGACAATCCTCACCAAAT